CCAAATTTGATTTTACTTAACTTCTTCAGTCTAATGTAAAGCAAGTACTTCACTGGCAGAGAGAGCTATCTCCTCAGTCCAAATTTGATTTTACTTAACTTCTTCAGTCTAATCTTTGCTGCTTGCCTGCAAAATTATTTAAATAATTGTGTTTGTAATAGAATATCCTTATACTTTTAACATTTGTTTTTCTCACCATTTGTGCCAGTTTAAAAGATAGCTGGTATAACACTATACTGAACAAAATCTATATTGATAATTAATGTTACCTGTCACCATCCCTCCCCATATGTATCTACTTAGAGCTGGTTGACTATCTTGAATCTATGTATTGCAATCTCTCACTAGTCCTGAAAACTTTGTCTCCATATTTTCAATGCTAGGCTATTTTTTATGAGTCTGATATGCTGTTAATCCCATCTGTCATAGTAGGTAAGACCAAGTAGTAGTACCCAAGATGCCAGGAGTCTCTAAGGGAAAACTAACTAAAAGCAGATCACTGTTAGTATGTAAAATTTTAGTCAAGGGGAAAATGTGTGGGTCCAGTTAGACTGAAGGATGTTGGGGAATGTTTCCTAGAGAAAGTAATGCTTATGCCAACAGTACGGAGGGAAATGTTAACTTAACATCAAATTTGCCAGGAAAGTGATAGTGGTAGCTTAGCTTGGCTGAACAGCTTAGGTCTTTAGAGCCCAGTTGCTGATTTGAGTGTTTCTTTGGTAGGCAATTATTTAAAAATAGTTCCTCCGTGAAAGAATTATTTCTGCCCACTGTCCATCTGAGTGCATAGCACTTTATATTGGTTAGAGTTTGTAAAGACATGATTTTATTGACCTGTCCCTGTTGCTGTCGACTATAACTTAAATAAGTAAACCATATTGATGTATAATCTTTCAACCAAATTTATTGTTTGTATATCATTTTAAAGTCGTATAACAATGTTTTTAAGATTAGAAATATGCATAATTTCTTATGATAACCCCACCAATTATATTATTTATTATTTTTACAATACATGCATCAATTGGAGACTTGTCCTTAGTAATAAGAATGGGGCTGACTGTAAATGGCAGAGTGTGTGCTAAGATCAGGCGAGGTATTACACACCTGTAAACTAGCATTTAAAAGGTGGGAGCTAGCCTGGCAATGTAGCCAGTTCCAGGGCATAGGGAGACTGTCTCAATAAGCAAATTACTGTATCACCATGTTTTTCTTATAACTTAAAAGACAGCCTTAAGATTTAAAAAAAAAAAGCACAATTTTCATCCTATAATCTTTTGTTTTTGTTTTGTTTTGTTTCCTTTAACTAGCTTTGTAGACCAGGCTGTCCTCAGACTCACTGAGATCCACTTTGCTCTGCCTCCCAAGCGCTGGGATTAAAGGCGTGCACCACCACTGCCCAATATCTTCTAAATTTCCTTTAAAATGTTTTTCTTATTACGTCTCTTTATGTCATGTGTATACACCTGTAGGAGGGTACATATGTGGAGGTCAGAGGACAACTTTTAGGAGTCAGGTTCTTTTACTATCATGAGGGTCCTGGGTCTTGGAAACACAGGTAATCAGGCTTGATGCAAGTTTCCTACCTATTAAACCATCTCACCAACCCAAATTTCCTTTATTACATGAGGTGAACATTAGTAAAGACTTTTTGTTACTACAGTGTTGAAATACTAAAAAGAATTATTTTCTAACGCTGCAAGTTGCCAATAACCTACAAGGGCAAGATGCTAAAGTTACAAGTAGGAAAGCATGCAGAGATGCTTCCCCTCACTCCCTTTTTCAGTAGGGTCTTAACTCTCTAGCCCACTGTGATCCCCTGGCCATAGCCTCCTGAGTGCGGGAAGTCAGTCATGAGAGACCATAACTAGCTATTTCTCTAATTTCTAAATGAAAAAAGAAAAGAAAGAGGAGAGCAGCATCTCATTAAAACAAAGCACACCGAAAGTCGGTGCTTTCATTTGTGACCTTTGAAATTTCCTTCTCTGTAAAGATTAAATGAAGAGAACTGTCCACTGCCTAGCTGAGCCTTGATTTAGTCTATCATACCTTTGGTGTGCTTTAAGTATTGGTCCTCCTAATAGCTGCAATACAGCCAGCCATGTTAAGTATGCAGTCATAACCACACTGATAATTAACCCTTCCGTACAGACTCTAGAGCCTGCCTCACCTATTCTCTTCCTGTTCTTCTGTGTCCTTCAGTCAAATGAAGTCAGTGTATACTACTTCCATAACTTCACATACAGTTAATAGGTATTGTCAGAGTCAACCTGAAGTAATATACAAGAATTTAATATGCACCATCTCCACCAAAACATAATAAAGTTTCATAGATGTTTTCAGAGACAAGGAAATTTTTTACACCTCTGGGCAAACCATATTGTTGTTTGACAGCCCTAACTACAAGGAATTCACCTCATAATACGACCTTTTACCCATTGATTCTCTGACCCATGTGGGAACACAAAGAGGAGAGCTTCATGTCATTTAAAGGAGATGTTTAGACAGGGATCAGTTCTCCCCTCATCCCAGGCTAACCACCATCTGCAAGTTTACAAACAACACATTCCTGTTGTTGCCTCAGCAGAGGGCTTTGTACTCTCCATACACTTTAGTTTTGCTTTTGTTTGTTTGTTTTTTCTTTTATAAATGTGCTTTCATGGTAATTATGCCCCAGAGCCTGTGTGATTTGGGTTCTTATACAGCCTTTATATCATATATATACAAAGGGAAAAGGAAGAAATGTTTTCAGAAGTCTATTGTGGATTATATTATACGCTAAGCTGAGATTGTTCTCTACAGTAAATGTGGCCACTTGATAGTAATTAAAATTTACTCTGCACCACACCCTTTTCTCAAGTCTTTATACATAACTCTTTTAACCTTCACCACATCTTGTGAAGCACATAGTGTTTTCATTCCAGAAGAACATATGGCACAGCCATTCAGTAATTTTCCTGTGTTACAAGGTTTGAGCTGGATCTCAGTGTCCAGTGTAATTTAGATGTAAGCACAGTTTTTTCTTTCTTTCTTTTTTTGTCCCCGCTTTGAGACCAGGTTTCTCTGTGTAACCCTGGCTATCCTGGAACTGGCTCGGTAGACTAGGCTGTCCTTGAACTTAGAGGTCCCCCTGCCTCTGCCTCTGGAGTGCTGGGATTAAAGGCATGCTCCCCCAAACTCAGCTGGATTAAGCCCTTTTATCCCCTGTACTGCATATGGTCCCCTGTGTGCTAATTTGAAAGCATAGGTACATGCTATATCAGCTTTCTATTTGGATGTGTAGTGTCATCTTGAATTTGGCGAATTCAGTTAAAGTAGTATTTCTTGAAGTGAATTCTAGCTGATAAAGACTTTGAGTCTTGAAGTATATCTGTCTCAATGGGTTAGTTTAAATAGCACACATACTCCTGGGATACATGATTATGTTGTTGTTTTCATAAATATTCATACAGATATACAGTTTAGTATAGTTGCTTCCAGGCTTATAAATGCATAATGGAATAAATGCTAATATAATATAGTACAGCAATCAGTAGGGTAGTGGTCAAAACAATTGATTAGATTCAAATCTGGCTTTGCCATTTAACATGGGGCACGTTTCTTAATCTCTTACGTCCTGGTTTTCTTTGTAATATGAATATAATGGTTCAGGGTTGCTTATGAAAATTGATGCTTGCTTATTTATATTTACTGCACTTATTGTTTGGGTGTGTGTATATATGTTGGTATGCATATTACAGCATGCATGTGGAGGTCAGAGAACAACTTGTAGGAGTTGGTTCTCTCTGTCTGTCATGTAGCTCTTAGGGATCAAACTCAGATCATTAGCCATGACAGTAAGTGCTCTCACCTGCTGAACAATCTTGTTTCCATATATGCTCATATTTTAAAAGCATTTAGATTAGTGCTTGTATCTAGTAAACTGTATATAAATGTTTTGGTTTTTGTGTTTTCTGAGGCATAGTCTTGCTGTGTAGTCCAAGCAGGCCATGAACTCAAGAAACTCCTGTTTCTCCTGGTGAGATTACAGGTGTGACAGACATACTATGTCTGGCCTACTGGTTTGTCCTAACCTATCATTTTTCAATTAGGGGAACTATTGTAGATATGAAGGAAACCAATGACCTTCAGTATGACCATTTAGAGACATAGTCAAAGTATAAGAAGTCACTTACCAACAAACATATTTATTTCTGAAGTCATTAATATTTTGTTTTCAATGTAAATATAAACTACATGGTATTTTATACAACATATAGACATAATAAATATTTTATCTCTTTATCCCTACCTATCACAATTTGATGTCAGTCAATAGCCTTGGACAGTTTCTATTGCAGTTGGACATTCTTACAGTATAAAACAAAATGTGAACATTTTTATGCTTAAAACATTAGCACTTAAAGTCAGCACCACCTTTTAAATTGCCAGGGTAAAATTTGTATAATATTTGGATATTTTATTCTGTTATCAATAATGTGACAAGTGGGGAATATTATTATTGACTAGAGTAGTTAAATTGCTATGATTTAATTTAAAAGTAGTAATATTGAAAAAAGCCTTGGATTAGCATAATTCTGCTTTCAAATTCACTTTTTCAAATCACAGTGGCCTCAACCTTCTATGAATAGCGATTGTATTGTGCCAGGCACCAAATGGTCATGTCTATAAGGCATAAGCTAAATTAGCAAGTAGTTCTGCAACTCAGGTAGTTCCTTTGCTTGAATTACTTAATTCTTTATTATCTATATATAAACATAAGGAAATTCCATTTAAATGACTTGAAACTCATTTCAAATATGTCATCCTTTGATTATATTAACCCACAGATTATATTTTCAATGTTAACTTTTATTAATGTATATCAATTGTACAATATACTGGGTTTTACTGTGCTATTTTAACACATGCAGATAATGTTCTTTGGTCAGATTTACCCTGATACCCAATTTTAAGCAGTGGTTGATCCTAGTAACATTAACATAATATTTTGTACACAGATTGTCCAAGGACTCCAGATACTCCAAATAGTGACTCTCGTAGTTCTACTAGCAACAATAGATTGATGGCCTTACAGAAACAATTGGATATAGAACTTAAAGTAAAGCAAGGTGCAGAGAACATGATACAGATGTACTCAAATGGCTCTTCAAAGGTAAGCAAATCCCTAGTAATTGTAGATTCCATATTTATGAGTTTGCCTACTCCCTAAAATTCATTTGTTGACCCAGTGTCAGAAATAGGAGTACTTTGACTGTCACTGGCAGACCTGCATAGAGCAGTGGCCTGGCTTCTTCATCACTGTGCGCTCCCTCTGAGGTCAACAGGTGACTGTCACCTTCTAAAACTCTCACATTGCAAATAAGCATCGTTTTCTTTTTTTTTTTTTTTTTTTTTTTTAATGCAAAGTTGGATTTTAATTTTTTTAAGTAAAATTAGAAGTAATTCTCCTATTTGCTGCATACAATCAATGGAACATATAACATGAAAACACTGTTTTATAAAACAGTGTTTTATAACAGTGTTTTATACACACACGCAAAAATATATTACATATATAACACTCACACATATAAATACATGTAAGTTAAATGGAATTATGCCACATAGGGTGATAATGGTTCTCCTAAGAGCCACAGACCAATAAGCATCATTTTCATTCCATTTAATGCCACAGTGTTCATATATTTTTGGTTTGGGTTGATAATTTCAGAGTTTAAGCAGTATATGGTAGTTTTGATACAATTGTAGCCTCAATTGGAAAATACAGACAAAAAAATAGAAATGTTTTTAAAAGCAACAGTATAAAAATTGTTTATTCTCTCAAAACCTATTGAGTAATGAACATGAAGGAGTTCTGTAAACCCAAAATTACATCAGAACAAAAAGTCTGTTCCCCAGCAGATGAATTTTCTGGCCACCAGCAGGCTTTTGGAAAGGGCAAGTGAAAAGCCGACATCCTAGCATCACTGATTACATGACTTACTGCTGTACATTTTTGAGATTCTAATGTTGTTACTACCATTTGAAAGACAGTGTTGAGGGAGCAGTTAGTAATGAGAACATATGCTTATAGAATACTGTGACAGGAAAAAAAATATTGGGGACCTCTTAAACCATGCTATACTAATGGTTCTTCCCAATATAAAGTTAGGTTTTATGATTCTGAAACCTGGAATGCATTTATTATAAATTCTACCTATCTAATCCCAGTTATTTTAAAGATTCTTATCTCTGAATATCAGTGTTTCTTCATATTCTAAAACTTAACCCTGTTTGTTATTCTTCTGTGTGTTGTGTGTGTTTGGGCCCACAGCATGTGTAGAGGTCAGAAGACAACTGTGGGAGTTAGTTCTCACCTTTCACCGTGGGAAGCCTAGGGTTTAGTCTTAGGGCAGCAGGTTTGGCAGCAGGTATCCTTACCCTTCTAACCTTCTCACTTGGCCTTGTGCGTGCGTGCGTGCGTGCGTGCGTGCGTGTGACTTTGGTATTTATTTTTTATTCCAGCTTGGAAAGAATGTGAAACGAGAGGGGAGAGGATCATTTCTTAATGTCTTGCATCCCACTCTTCCACTGAACAAAGAATATATGTACAATAAGTAAGATGTTAAGGTTACTTGTGAAAACTAGCTAGATTATATAACATTAAAAAAATTTAGTTGAGTATGTTTTTCTTTAATAGAATATTACTTCACTAACCTTTAACATTTACTATTGGGAGACAAAATTACAATTTCCTGTTTTTATTTTCCTATCAGTGCTCTCTCTTCAAGTCCCTTTCTCATATTCATGTCTTTTCTGTTTTATTTTGTGACCCAGTGAGTTTGACTAGAGCCATTTGTGCAACCATTGGATGAAACTATCCATTGGAGGGAGTTTGTTACACTCAATAGGGAGTATACAACCAAAGGCAGGAACTGTTCTTCCAAAATCTGTCAGTAGGCAATAGCTCATCAGGGAGAGGGCCCTATGAACACGATTTATGCCTCTCTGTTGACAGGCCTACATTTGTGCTACACCAAAGCTGCTATGGGTTTATGTTTGCAGTGGCTTTGCCTTGCCTCGAGTGGCAGTTCATGTCTGTTTGTTGTCTGGGTATTATGTTCTTTCCACTCCCTGTTCCATGGTGTTCCCTGATGGTATAGAGGTCTTGGTTAGGAATGAGCACTCAACTGTCACTTGTTCTTGGCATCTTGAGAAACTACAAATCTCTGCATTCACCAAGTCTTCTCTGATTAATGCTTTTTTGAGACAGTGTCTCACTGTCTATTCCTCGATGGCCTCAAAACCACAATCCTCCTGCCTTGGCCTCCCAAGTACTAGGATTACAGACACTTGCTAAAATGCCCAGCTTTATTGGCCTTTAGTGGTTTTATTATTGGCCTTTAGTATAGGAAATTTTTTATTTTTATAAAAGGTTGTTATAAAATGTTCTACTACATGATTTTAAAATTAAATTAAGCCAGTTAGTGCTGTCTATCATAAGAGTTTTTAAATCCCAAGTAGATGGATTAATTTGACGGCTTTAAGATCCCTTTAAAGCTAAAGAAAAAGTGTGGATAAAAGGGCCATAGGTTCCATTGTATTCTTCTAGTGCTCTTGGAGGCCTGAAAGACTAAGAACCAACAGATATAAATTGAGCAATCTTATGAACATACTAAAATTAAAGAAGTAAATGGATAATTTACAAAAGCCACAGGTCCAAACTAAACAGACCTGTAAGCATGGCACTAAAACAGATATTTACATTCTAGTGGCATTTGAATTTTAATTAGGAAATCTCTTAATTAATGATACCTAATTAGAAGACCAAAGCCTATCAGTAGCTGCTGTAGTCTCCAACGATGTCTCAACATCTTTCTTCTGTCTAGACATAATCTTAACTGGTAACTTCTCAAAAGATGAAAGAATGTGTTTTTGAGATTAGAGATAAAATTGAATTTAAATTACATAGAGTATTGAAAGGATCTTATTTAGTACTTATGGTAAGTACTGGGATGTAAGCTCTTAGACCTGTCTTTAAAAGGCAATATCATGTATAAATAATTGCAAATAATAGAAGTGGTTTGAGCAAATGACTCTGGAAACCTGGAGAAGAGTCACTGAAATGCTGCAATAAATCATTTATGTCTTTAACTGTGGAATTTGAAAGACAATTTGATACTTAAGAACTAAATTCATTAGGGCTTGGTGGCTCCTAACTATAATCCCAACACTTAGGATGCTGAGGCAGTAGGATCATAAGTATAAGGCCATCGTGGACTATGTAATGAAACTGTCCCCACAAACAAAAGATAACTCCTTTCTAGGGATGGTGGTATGAGTTGCTTGGTTAAGACACTTCTGTCATTCATTGTAGGACTATAACACAAATTTGTAGCATTAATTTTAGCCTAAGGTGAGAGTGAGGAGAGTTTACTTTTTGCACGTATGATACGTACTTATGTACAAATTGATATGCGAGTGGGTGTGCCTGAGTGGGGAGGCCAGGGTTTAAATAGTTTGTTCTTATGGGAGTACAGGTTAAATGACTTACTGTGTCTTAGAGCAGCAGTAAAAATAAAGGAGATAGAATCAAGCTGTGGGTATCTGGCTGAGGAAGAACACAGTCCAAGATGACCCTTAGATGGTATGTAGGCAGACTGAATCGAGTGTGGTATTCACATTGATAAGAAATTCATATGAGGTAATAAGAGTTGGGGCAGGGGTGATTAGTTTCAGTTTGGTAGTCAACTCCTCTTCAGCTGTCTAATTACTGGTTTTCGTATGTTAAAAACCATTATTCCTATATGTAGTGTAGTCAGAATTGCTCTTTCAAATATTAGGCCAGATATCTCAACCTCCTGCTCAGCCCCCAAAACTTTCCATCATAGTTTAGACAAAATCCCAAGTCCTTTTTCTGACTTGGTAAATACACAAAATTGATCCCCGGGTGTCTTCTAAGAACACCTTTATCACCTTGTCCTGTACTTTCGCTGACCTTTTTTTACCCTGTGAATATAGCTAGCACACTCTACTCAACTCAGGGCCTTTGTCCTAAGTACTCTCTTTCCCTAAATATAAGTTGTTAGATGCAACCGTGTCACAGCTAGCTCTTTGCTACTGTCCCAGGTGAAGCAGCAACAGCTCTTCCCTTGACTGCATTGCCACTAACCTGGATTGATGTGGAGTCTTCTCCCCATTCACAGTGCTGTTCTTTTAAAGCCCCGTCTGACCACACTGTCTTTGAACTCATTATGCAGTTAGGCTGGCTTCAAACTTGTGATCCTTCTGCCTCTTGCTTTCTAAGTGCTGAGATTCTTACAGGTTTGTGCAGCCATGCCTGCCACATGTTTAGTTCTGTCATCCTGTGTGTAACACTAGAATGCAAATTTTATGTAGGCCAAGAACACTGCTGTGCTTTCAACTGTGCTGTTTAGAAGAGTTCCTACCTAGTGCCCTGACATACTTTGTTACAAAGTGCCCCTGACATTAATTATTACAAGACTGAATGCAGTTGCCACTCATTTGTTTCAACTACCTTCCGTTGGCCCTTGCTGCACACTGTTCTGGTTTCATATATGTATACTGTAGTTCTTTTTACTATGTCTATTATTATTAATGCAGAGACCAGGGGAAAGGATTACAACTATCTTACCTTATTGTCTAAGGAGTAGTATTTCTTAGCATTTCCTTATTGTGCAATGGTGGCTCCATGTAACATCACTGACTTTCAGGGTGATCTCTGAAGGTTTTGATAAGGCTTGTTAAAGAGACACGTCCTGTGCTTATGTTCAGAGAGTACAATAAAGCTATTTATTAAGATCTAGGATTCTTTCCAATGTTTTCCTCCTTTCCTTCTGTTTCCAAGCCTTGTCATACATTTTCCTAACTGGAAACTACCCCTTTATCTATTTTTGCCTCTTAATATCTATCAAACTAAAAGCTTCAGGGTTTAGGATTCTGACAGGTCTAATCTTGTATTTTAACTGAGTCTGGTAATGTTAAACATATAGGAAGTAAGCTACAAATATGATAGATGATAGAAAGGTTAAGATAATAATGGGCTCATTTATTTGATAGCTGTGTATTTGTGAGATGTATGCTAACCCAGCATGGCTTTACAAAACAATACAATTTTAATTTTATTTTTGTCTGTCTGTCTGTCTGTCTGTC